CATCCTAGCCAGACCTTTTTATCATCTGTCTTTTTAAAAATTACAGCCATCTTAGTAAATGTTAGGTAGTATTTCATGGTTTTGATTTGTATTTCTCTAATGGCTAATGTTGAGTGTCTTTTCATGTACTTATTGGCCATTTATCTCCATTGGAAGAAAGTCTTTTCAGATATCTATGATTTGCAAATATTTTTTCCCACTCTGTGCATTGTCTTTTTATTTTCCTGGTGGTGTCCTTTGGAACAAAAATTTTTTAATTTTGATGAAATCCAATTTATCCATTTTCCAGAGCCTGAATAAGGTGAGGAGGACAGCACTTGGGAGTGATGTGATATGGAGGATCAGAACTCACATGGGGCTAGGAGGACATCCATGCATGAGAGTGGCCCAGCTCTGGGTGTCTGAGTCCAAAATGGGAGGAAGAGATCCGTGCGCGGGAGCAGGGATGGGGAGTCAGAACCTGAATGAGCTGTGAGCTCACAGAGCAGGCAGCTCTGCGCAGGGGAGAGCCCAGATGGAGTGAGAGGGCTCTGACACAGCGGGTGGGGTGGCCTGGCCTAAAGTACTGGGATCTAAGTGCACCGAGAAGGGTTTCTGCACAGGGAAGGAGACGGCAGACGTGACTGTAATCAGAAGGAATGATCGGGTGTTAGGGCTAATGAGGGCCAGTTTTCTCACTATTGGAGAAAGGATTAAATTATATTAATAGAAAGGATTAAATTATATTAAACTAGGCTGAACCTTATGGTGATGGATTAGGATTCAAAGTATTGGTAAGAATGCATGGTTTTTAATGTAGAGAGATATAGACATGCAGATGTGGTGTACCCAGTAACACACACATTTACGAGTATGTGTTCATATATATAGGTCCATATATACATAAATGCACATATACACACAAGTATTGATTAGCTCTGTCCTCTGAAAGAAACTGGGAGCAGAGACATCTTAATAGCATTGAGCAAAACTGGTACCAGACAGTGAATTCTAAATACAGTTTTGAGAGCAGCCAAAGCATCCGGGTCATAGATGAAGGGAGGCATTGACTGTTGGGAGACCTGTCCATTCCTGGAGGGCAGAGAGAGGAGCCACTTTGAGTGAGAGCACAGGGGTGTGCAGTGGTTTGGAGAACCAAGCTGTGGGTCTACACCAAGAGTGACTAAGATTTGCCAACTAAGCAATGTATCAGAATCAGTTTCCTTAACATTTCTGAGCCTCAGTTCATTTGTAAACAGGGCAGTACAAGGGTTTCCCTCGTGGCTCAGCGGTAAAGAATCCGCCTGCAATGCAGGAGACACAGGAGATACTGGTTTGATCCCTGGGTTGGGAAGATCCTCTGGAGAAGGAAATGGCAACCCACTCCAGTATTCTTGCCTGGAAAATCCCATGGATGGAGGAGCCTGGTGGGCTACAGTCTGGGCGTCGCAGAGTCGGACACAGCTGAGTGACTGACACATGCACAAGGGTAGAAAGGGACAATTGAGTCAAATACTTGGCATGTTATGAGCACTCGGTATTCTGAGCACTCAGTATTCTTTCTGGGAACACAGCGAGGCACGTTGCGGCAGCAAAAATCAAAGGAATAAACAAAAATAAAAACTCTGTGAAAACTTTCCAAAATCTTCATCTCATCTCAGAAGACCAGGAACTTGGTGGAGTTCCAGGGGCTTTCCAGTCCCCCATAGACCAGCCTTGAAATTAATATGTAACGTTTTCGTGTTAATTAAGCCTATTAATAAAATCTGTGCTAAGAGATCTGACATGGGTGTTGGATTGTGCCAAGAGTGGGGTTGGACGGGGTGGCACGAGAGGAATTATGCCACTTTGATTTTGTTCCACAAAACTAATGAGCTGAGGAAATTCCTATGAAAATAGGCTGCCACTGGGATCTCACTCCTGCTTAAACCAGTCTTCGAAATTTCCTCCCTCTCTCAACAGCGCTTACATCCGATGAGTCACCAAGACTTCCTTCCCAATTTCCCACAGCTGTTCTGTTTCTCTTCACCTCCCCTCTTTGGTTCCAGTCCTCAGTTCTGACTTGGTTAACTGGAGAAAAAGTTTCTAACTGGTCTTCCTGCCCCATTTTTTTTTTTTTTTGGCTGCATTGTGTGGCATGTGGGATTTTCATTCCCTAACCAGGAATTGAACCTACACTGCGTGCAGTGGAAGCCCAGATTCTTAATCACTGGATTGGCAGAAAAGCCCCTTTGCCCCTAGTTTTGATATTCTCCAAACCATTCTCCATTCTGCCATGTAGTGATTTCCATGGGCATGATTATGTCATGCCCACAAAACTCCCCGAATCCTATTTCTTCCAGGATAAAATTTTGTATACCTTAGATATCATTTAAGGACCTCCTGTCATACAATCAGCAAAAGCGAATAGAGGCAATATACTCCCAATCCCTTGGGATGTGTTTTCACATTTCTACCTAAACTTTTTACCTAAGCCTTCCTTTTCCTTTTTGCAATAATTGTTTCTTTTTACCTATTAAAATATTTTAAATCACAGTTTAAAATGCCCATAGAAGAAAAACAAGAGTCTAAAAAAAAACCAAAAAGAAAAACAATCTAAAAGATTGCTCTGTAAACATTAGTCCCCTGCCATTTCCCTCTTCTCAGAAGTTACAACTTTCACTCTTGATTATTTTCACATATTCCTCATATCTCTAAACACAATGCTTATGTTACTACTCAATTTTAAAATTTAAACTTTCCAGTCCTGAAGATGTTGCTCTTTCATACACACACGCATACTCACACATCTTTCCTGTGCACCCATCTTGCCAGTATACCATAACTTTGCACAAATAAATGTTCATGCAAATACTAATCCAATCTGAGACACGTAGTATATTATAACAATTTTCCCTTTTCTGCTTAATTCCCCCATTTCCTCAATTTTCTGTCAGTTTTATAAAACTCCTCGCACCATATTCAGAGGCATCACTTTAAAAAAAAGCATTTCATCTCCTTCTGCTGTGCGTCTTGTAGAGGTGCCCTCGGGCTTCTCTAGTGCTCAGATGGTAAAGAGTCCATGTATGATGTAGGAGACCTGGGTTCGATCCCTGGGCTGGGAAAATCCGATGGAGAAGGAAATGGCTACCCACTACAGTATTCTTGCCTGGAGAATCCCATGGACAGAGGAGCCGGTAGGGCTATAGCCCATAGGGTTGCAAAGAGTTGGATACGACCAAGTGACTAACACTTTCCCTACTTTGGAGGTGCCTTCAAAATTTGCCCACAGTTATTATGGGCTCTCTCTTCACTTCTCAAGACGGAGGTCTTATCTACTGGATCGCATGTTATCTTCTTTTCTGGTTTACTCCCTCATTTTGGAAAAGCACATTCTTTCTAGTTTCCTAGAGAGAATTCAGTGTACGTATATTTTCTGAGACCTTGTGTGTACTAAAATATTCTCATTCTGCTTTCATACTTGAATGATAATTTGGCTGAGCAGAAAATTTTGTACTGAAAAATATTTTCCTTCACAATCTCATCATCTGGCTTTCAGGGTTGTTGCTGAGAAGTCTGATTCCATTCTGACTCTTGATTCTGAATGTAGGATCAATTTACTTGCCTTTGAAGCCTTAATTCTCACCATATCCTCTGCTTCAGTTAGGATGCCTTCAGCAGCAAGAGAATGAAAATCAACTCCAGGTGGCTTAAAAAAATAAGAAAGTTTATCTCGTATAAGAAGTCCAAAGTTGGATGGCTCCCAGGATAGTTAATTCAGTGATAAGTGGCATTATTATTAATCTTTCCACTTTCTAGCTTTTCCATTTTTTCTATTTTCCTTATATTATTTACTGTTAGGTAGTTAGAATAGGGAAAAGGAGTCCAAAATGGCGGTGGCTAAAAGACAAGGAAGGGAAAAGCCTGCAGAAGGTCAAAGGAAGGTCCGAGGCCTGGAGTGAGGACTTCAGGTAGAACAGCACTCCTGCCTAAGCCCAATTTGCATAGGGCAGGCCCAGGGGGAAGAAAAAAAAAACATATAAAAAGAGGAGCCAAAGGGCTCTCTCTCTCCCACAGGTGCGTACGCTCTCTCTCTCTCTCTCTCTTCTCTCTCTTCCCCCACCCCGCCCCCACACGATGGGGTGCTCTTCTCTTCGTGTCTTTGGATCGACGTGCCCTCACACCCTGAAGATGGATTTTCCTGCTATCTTCTAAATAACATGGAGCTGTAACACTGATTTATCTAAGAGCTATAACACACGGTCCGTTCGAGACCTGAGAGCTGTAACATGGTCTGTCCAAGACCCGAGAGCTGTGACCCGCTGAGGGGGCTTTAATGTCCGTCACTCCAAATCTTTGTTGTGACGAGACAAAGAACCGAGGAGCAGACACTCGCCTGACATTTACACTTAGGGTTATGAGATGGCTGCGGCAATTCTCAGTGTATCAAACATCCAGACACCAAAGGGTTAATGGAGAATAAGGTAATCTCTTCATAATGTATCTTTTCTAGGAGCAAAGAGACCTTTTCCAGAAACTCCTAGTCCATTTTACTTCATGTTTCATTGGTGAGAATGCTCACCTACTCAAGCCTAAATCTATCAGTAACAAAGGGAATGGTATTACCTGGATTGGTGGCTTCCCTGGTGGCTCAGAGGGTAAAGCGCCTGTCTGCAATGTGGGAGACCCAGGGTTCAATCCCTGGGTCGGGAAGATCCCCTGGAGAAGGAAATGGCAACCCAGTCCAGTACTCTTGCCTGGAAAATCCCATGGACGGAGGAGCCTGGTAGGTTTACAGTCCATGGGGTCGCAAAGAGTTGGACATGACTGAGCAACTTCACTTTCACTTTCACCCTCAGGATTAGGGAGCAGCCAGCATCCATGCGAGGGCTTCCCAGGTGGCTCAGTGGTAAAGAATCAGCCTGCCAAGAAGGAGACACGGGTTCCATTCCTGGGTCAGAAGATCCCCTGAAGAGGGAAATGGCAACTCACTCCAGTATTCTTGCTTGGGAAATCCCATGGACAGAGGAGCCTGGTGGGCTACCATCCCTGGGGTTGCAAAAGAGTCTGACATGACTTAGTCACTAAATAGCAGCAACATCCACAGAAGCACATGACCAAGTGGAGGAGGGTAGATGCCTGAACAGAACTGGAGCTGTAATAGCAATGAAGAAGGAGAAACAGTTTTAGAAGGTCATCTACATCTACTGCACTCCTGGACATATGTTGCTACATCAATCCTGACTTTACTACAATTCCTTCAATGCTTGTATTTTTAGGCTCTGACTTCGAATTGGCTTCTGCTGTTTCTGTCACTGTCTATAGAATGTTGAAGAGTTGCCTTGATTTTTGAAGTCTTCCTAGGAAGTCATTTATCTCCGTATCCTTGACTGGCATCAGATTAACCTTGTATCCCCTATCACTAAAGTGAGAATGTGATGCTCTGCTGTTCATTCAGACAGGGCCCTGGCTGCAGGTTTGTGCTGAAGCTCCCCTCACCTACTTCCATCACCACCAAGGCTAATCAGTCCAAGGAAAGGACACTGAACCTAAGTTAAACCCATCAGATTCTCTCTGTATTTGGTATTAGAGCTGAAAGAAAGACAGCCTCCATTTGCTTCCAACTTTAACTTCAAACTCAAGAGTGGCAGCTGTATTCCATCTTGTGCTTTGAGGACTAGAAAAATCATCTTGCAGGAAAGAGTGCAAATACAGAGAGAAGCAGAAATGAGATAGAGTGCAGTGCTCCTGGCTTTCCACTGCTTGATTTCAGTCCCTGCCCGGGGGCTGGCTGCATTCCTACCCTGAGGTCTCATGAGATAAACCAGTATCACCATGCTCTTTCAATTTAATCTGGTTCCTTGGAAGTTCTGCTATTTTTAACCAAATTACCACTAAAGGGATTATGACCAGTGTTCTGGACTAAGGCTATACAATTTCAGACTTGTGACTTTATCACGTGACTCAGGGCCTCTTTCTCTGTCTTATCACCAGGTTTTATTTATTGGTGTACCTTGTGGGGCTTCCCAGGTGACTCAGTAGGTAAAGAATCTGGCTGCCAATGCAGGAGATGCAGGAGACGGGGGTTTGATCCCCAGGTTGGGAAGATCCCCTGGAGGAGAAAATGGCAACCTACTCCAGTATTCTTGCCTGGGAAAGCCCATGGATGGAGAAGCCTGGCAGGCTATAGTCCATGGGGGTCACAAAGAGTCAGATGCTACTGAGCACACATGCATGCATGCATGTACTTTATGGGGGATCTGGTGGGGTTGGGGAGAGGATCTGAGCTGTTGTAAGCAAGAGCTGGCAGAGAGGGTGTGTGTTAGTCATGCAGAGACTAGTAGGATGTTTCACTGTTCTTTCATGTGGCATACAATAAACATTAGTAAATATTTGAACAGATGAGCATTCTGACACCTCATAAATCTAAATCTAATATGAGATTAAATTTTAAAGTGATTCTTAATAACTGCTGCTATTAAACACCATATAAAAACTCAGCAGTTCAGTTCAGTTGCTCAGTCGTGTCTGACTCTTTGTGACCCCATGGACTGCAGCGCGCTAGGCTTCCCTGTCCATCACTAACTCCCAGAACTTGCTCAAACTCACATCCATTGAGTTGGTGATGCCATCCAACTATCTCGTCCTCTGTCATCCCCTTCTCTTCCCACCTTCAATCTTTCCCAGCATCAGGGTCTTTTCCAATGAGTCAATTCTTTCCATCAGGTAGCCAAAGTACTGGAGCTTCAGGTTCAGCATCAGTCCTTCCAGTGAATATTCAGGACTGATTTCCTTTAGGATGGACTGGTTTGATCTCCTTGCAGTCCAAGTGATCTCAAGAGTCTTCTCCAACACCACAGTTCAAAAGCACCAATTCTTCGGTGCTCAGCCTTCTTTATGGTCCAACTCTCACATCCATACATGACCACTGGATAAACCATAGCTTTGACTAGACGGACCTTTGTTGACAAAGTAATGTCTCTGCATCTTAATATGCTGTCTAGGTTGGCCATAGCTTGTCTTCCAAGGAGCAAGTGTCTTTTAATCTCACAGCTGTAGTCACTGTCCTCAGTGATTTTGGAGCCCAAGAATATAAAGTCTCTCACTGTTTCCACTGTTTCCCCATCTATTTGCCATGAAGTGATGGGACCAGATACCACAATCTTCACTTTTTGAATGTTGAGTTTTAAACCAGCTT